GATAACAATATGTAAAACAATAACCATTGATAATTTCCTACCATTTTGTCTGTAATTTGCTAAGTCCCCCCTATTATTATGTTATCCTTCTTTTACTCTTTAAAATTAAAAAAAAAAATGGCTGCACATATAACCAGATGTAGGCATGCAAGATTGATCAAACGATTACACATTAACAGTTCCTTTCAATAAACCAACAGATATTAGTAGTTCAATTATTCTAGCTATCCTGTATATATAAATATATATATATGTGCATATTTTTTCCTCCTCTTTTTTTCTTTTTCCTATTATTTTTTCCCATTGACAGATTGAGAACAGTCCTCAGGATTGTGCTCTTTACATTAGTTTTGCAACAGGAGGTAAGAAAGCTTTATCACTCTTTGTGCCTAGCTCTTTGTGTGTTAGCCCATGGGGTTGAAATAAGAGCAAATTACCTGACTTTGTTGGGGGAAAGAAACGAAGGATCAGTGAAAGGGGAAAGAGTTTTTTGCTGTTCTTGTAGGGGGGATGGGGATTGGTCCTGGGGTTTGGAACTTAACCCAGGAACTCATACATATGAGACTATGCTCTGATATGGTTTTAGAATGCTAATCATATGCCTCAATTTCAGACAAAGATAACCTAAAAATAAAGTACCCTCAAAATAAAGTACTTCATGAAAACAGCAGTTTGTAATGCCAGTCTAACTGTGCTAGTGCTTTTGAGTTCCAGACCCTTGCTTTGCTTTTTCAGAGATAAGTTCAGCCCTGGGGATGAGAACAGTCTTGACTCTGAGGAAAGAAGTGAGGAGTAGGGAGGAGAGAATGAGGAAAGACAGTGAATAATAGGGTGCTGCTTTCATAATACTTCATTTTGATAAAAATGCGGCCCCAGATGTGAAACTACTTTGACAGAATGCTAGGAGTACTTTTATGGTGGGAGTATTTATATGATAACTTTAGGAAATTTGAGTTCTGAGAATATACCTAATTTTCTTTTTCTGTCTCATTTTTATAATTGAATGGATAAAGCCCACGGATGAATGAAATATTAAAAGTACTGAAAAGAGTGTTATCTGTGATTTTAGGCATCCACTATCCATCAGGGTCTTGAAACATATTCCCCATGGATAAGCGGGAAAGATGAATGACTGCCCCTTTTCTGAAGAGTGATTCTAATTGTTTTTGTTTCAGATCTTGTTTCAAATAAGCTAAAGAAATAAAGCAAATGAGAAAAT